AGAAGTGCGTTTCCCTCCCAAAACAAGTCCACCGGGCATGCTGACTCGTTGGCCCCCTCTGGTGTTAGCATGTCGTCACTACAACTCAAGTCGTTTTTCTTTTCAAATGAGCTCAAGTCGAGCTTCCCCTTCCTTTGACTTGATTGAACAGGAAGTTGGTGTCGGCCGCCTGCATCCTATTGGCCGCCAAGATCAGCAGCGATCTAAGGAAACAGGAGGTCATACATCTCATCGATGTAAGAAACGCACGCACGCACACAAAAGACTGCGGGGCGCAAATGGATAGCTCGTGGCAAATGCTACGTTTGCACGTGGCAAGCAAGCCCCTCGAACGTATTTGCGAGTCCGTTTGGGTATTTTGCCAGTCCAAATAGTTGTGCTTTTGGGATTCAGGCAAAAAACTTGACATGGGCGCGAGTTTCCGACTTTCCGCCACTAGATGGCAGCAGCAAATTTCACCGCATCCAAACGGCCTGAAATGATGGCGAATCAACTGTTGGTTCACTTTGCGGTCCAAGTGCCAAGTAACTGCTGGCTTTGTGCTGCAGGTGATGTCATCCCATTTGTTTTTCTGGGGGTGCGTCCGAAGTAAGTGCTGAGATGAAGCCGGATGATGTCCGTTGGATGAAAGCATGAAATCGTGGCAAAGATATATTAGAAAGCATGGCAAAAAAGCACCAAAAAAAAGTACACATTGACGATCAAGTTGAGTGAAACGTTTACCAAACTTTGTGCGTGCCGTTGCCGTGTCTTGAGCAGAAGCTGGAGGAGCGCTTCAGGATCGGCAGACGGGAGCTGATCAGCTTTGAGTTCACCATCCTGGTGGCCCTGGAGATGGCCCTCTACCTCCCGGAAAGCAAAGTCATGCCACATTACAGGCGGCTGGTGCAGCAGCAGTTGTAGCTCGCCGCGCTTCCGCCCCTTGCTTCAACCCCGATTCCTCAAAAATCCCTCCAAGCAAACCAAAAGATTTCTTCCCATACAGTGCCGTGGAGCAAGGAGTGCGGCGACCTCTCCCGGCAACCCGTCTCGCCGAGTCGTGCGCTGACGACCCCCCACGAACCACTCACCAAAGACATACTCCGTCACCAGGAGGACTCCACACCGAAGCTACAGAACTGCAGAAAACTTTGGAGCGGGTGGCCGAGCGCTCCCCCTCCGCATTTCGCCCGCCGAGAGGCGTGAAGGCGCTCCGCGGAGTGCGGCTGTCGGTCTTCATGCGCCGCCGAGGCAAAGGCAGTCGTCCACCAAAGATTCCGGGCTAGTCCATGTCTTTGTCGTCGCCGCCGTCTTCTTTCTGTGCGGGCTTCCTCCTTTTTGGGCCGGCTTGCGCTCGGTCGTCGTCTTCCGCCTCCGACTTTCTCGCGTCGCAGCAGAGTCGCCCTTTGCCTCCTGCCAAAGCGCTTCCTTGAACGCCGTTTGGATTTGGAAGCGGTGTTTCTCCAACCCCGACTGCGAGAGCTCACCGACGTCCGCAAATTCGTTGTCCGGATCGCCCTTCGTATGGGGGCGCGGTGGCAGAGGTGCGGGCTTCCATTCCGGGCTCCGGGCGTCCCGCGTGGAGTTTGCGCGTTCTCCCCGAGCCCGCGTGGCTTTTCTCCGGGTACTCCGCTTTCCTCCCACATTCCCCCGAACACTCCAAATTGTCCCTCTAGGTGCGATTGTTGTTGGTCAGCGCGTGCCCTGCCATGGGTTGGCGACCGGGTCGGCGTGTACCCGGAAGACAGATTATGTGTGTATTTTTCTACAGATTATTTTCTTGGTATATCGCAACTACTGAAGTTGGCTATTTATTCTTATCTTTCCGATCGAGCGCAGCGTTGTGCGCTCCACATTAGAGACTCGATTCTTCGACGCAGGCACACAATTTTTCAGGTCCGCTTTTTAAGACTCAGCCCGGGTTTTACTTTGTCGACTTGGCTTCCATTTTTGATGACCTTTTTTTTTTTTTTTTTTCATTTAAATCAATTA